CAGTGGCTAGTTAGGGCACCCTCCTGGGAAGAGAATACCAGAAACTGTTTAACAGGAAGAAATGGCTTGTTGATGGCACTGCTCATGCTTAAACAAGGAAATCTAATTTGAGAAGTTTTACTTCTTCTTTTCACATCTGGTAATCGGGTAGAATAAGTGCCAATACATTACACGACAATAATTTCAATAAATTTAAATATTAATAATTGCATAAACATTTTTGCTTTATTTTAGTTAGTTCTTTGGGCCAAAGGATGAATGTATTTTAAGGGACAAAAGCATGTTTTTTTTTGACTGATCAGCAGTTTTATGTGCTGTTTAATTTAATACTCAGATGTCTTAGCTAGGTAGGAACAGATATATTCTTCCATACCTAGCATCATGTTATTATTTAATGGTTATTGATGTATCTGATACATTTTCATCACACTTTGCATCACAAAAGACCTTAAAACTATCAACTATGGACATATGTCACTTGAGCTACTGCCACCACTGAAGTTTAGCCTGGTAGCTGTTTGGTAGCAGACAACAGTATTACTCAATAGCTCAGGATATCAAGAGGCGCATACTGAACTGATAGCAATACTGAGTTCAGTACAAAGCATGGCAACCCCTGATCCTGCTTGAATGGGAAGAAGAGTGTATTTACCTTTTTCCTAATGGTTAGAGCACATAATCAGAGTGCCTCCCACCCTGTCAATGTTACAGCAACTGGGCTACAGAATTACATCCCTCTTGTTTGCTTTCCTTCTAGTCTTACAAAGTATTCTTGGCTGCCCAATGGAACAGCTTCTACAGGAAGCATGGCCTACGCTAGCCAATCTTCTGGAGAGTCGAAGATATGAGTTTGCATCCCATAAAGCTGAAAAGAATCTATTACCTGGGTCTCCCACTTTCACAGTGAATGCTCTGAACTCTAGGCCAGGAGTTGGCCCTCTATGCCCCGTGGAGCCTTTGGATCCAGCACCAAGAGCTGCGGCTTCAGTGGCATCTTGAAGCAGGGGGAGCTGTCCTTGCACTGGACTGCAATTGGGCACTGAGGTCTTCAGCAGAGGGGGATCTCTGCCCACACTGCAGTCAGGAACCCAGGCTTTGGCAGGGTGGAAGTGCTTTGTTTGTACTGTGCCACCGCCAGGCAGCACGGGTTCCAGCAGAGAGGTGCTTTTGCCACAGCATGCTGCAGCTGGGTATAGGGGAGAAGTGGTGGAGGCTGGGTCCTCTTGCCCTTCCTTCTCCAACCTGATCTGCCTATGCCAAACGTTGCTGACCCCTGCTTGAAATTTTAGAACAAAAAGTAGAAAGCTGCAACTAGATCCCTTTCTTTTCTGGTGTCTGTGTTTTGTATAGAGCATTTTGCATGCTCCTTGTCAAACAGTCACTAAGCTTTCTCAATTGCCATTTAAGAAATCAGAGATTTCTGGCAAAATTAGTTGCCTCCTAGCACCAATCTGGATTGCAACAGGAGTTAGATTCCTAGATGCTTGATTTGGATCACATCTGGGCAAGTGCTGTAGTCCCAGTCTAGATGCCTGGGGATTTTTTCAGGCCAAAATGGAGGTGGTTATCTCCTGAATCTAGGTGCCTTAGTAATTTTGCAGCTGCTGGAGTGGGGTTTATCTACCTTGTTTTTGGTCATGTGAATTCCACCTGAATTCCACCAGCACCTTTCCATAGGGGGTGCACTGCCACGCTCAGGGCGTGCACGTGCACCCACGTGCACCCCTACGCATCGCCAATGCCCAGCACCACTGTCCACAAAGGCACAGTGCAGCGTGGTGCTCCTGGTCTGGCCCCAACCTCCCTCCCCAACCCCACGCTAGGTGGGGCACAACTCCCCCAGCCCGGCTCAGCCCTCTCCCCCGCAGGATGCAGCACCACCTGGTCCGGCCCCTCCCCACAGGCACAGCATGGCTCTCCCGGCCTGACCCCAGCCTGGCCCAACTCCACCCCATTCCAGCTTCCAGGGAAGTAAAGGCGAAAGCCACACTTTTAAAATTGGCAGCAAAAATGGGTGCCAAGTTTAAAACTATGGCCTTCACTTCCCTGCTGATGAGGATTCCAGGGCCAGGGCCCCAAATTGGTAGGGGCCCCTGGGCTTGTGCCCAGCTTGCCCATTCATTAATCTGCCTATGACCTCTTCTCTGAATCTTGAGGGATGACAGAATTGTAACCCCTCTGGGAAGTACCTACAAGTTTAGTATGGGTCTTGCCTTGAACTTCTTTGTGCTAATGAATATCTCCTTCTCAAGACTCAAGTTTTCAAGAATCACACACCTAGCAGCTTCCATTGGAGTCTTATGGGGTATAATGATTACATGTTACATAACCTTTGTGGCTGACCATCTGCTTTGGAGAATTTCACTATTGTATTAAATATCATTTCAAAACCCAGCTCAAGGTGAACACACAATATCTTCTCTCTCGGTCAGATCAGGTGAAACATGGTAAACTTGCCTAAACGGAGTATTGTTACACCATTTGGTACACTTGGCTTCTAAATTCTTAGTCAGGCACCTAATTAAACTGGCCTACTTTTCATAGATGCTGTGTGTCAATGATGTCAGCAAACATTGGCCTCTCAAGACCACTGCACACCTGATGTCCTTCACTTATCCACCTACTCATGGATTTAAATGACTGAATTTAGGCACCCATGCTTGACATGTCTAGTCTGCCTACACCTGTGAGTGTTAAGGGCTCTAGTCTTCTTCCTTTGCATTTCTTTTTCATGGTATTCATTGTGATGACCAGAGGGTTTTTCGTTGCCATTAAGTGGCTAACACAATTATGTAACCATGCCATCATCGGTCTCAGAGAAATGACACCAGACTCAGATTCAAATCTAATAACAAAATAAGAAAATAAGAGGTTGGATTAAATTTCCAAATTAAATCCAAGCCCAATGAATGATATGGTCTTTCCCATACAAGGATATAATTAGTTTTCTCTGTTTGATTTTAGTAAAGAGATCATTTTCTATGGAAACATTCTCCCCTCTCATCTGCATTGTGACTTCCTATATTCGTGTCTGATAGCCTTCAGTCTGTGGGTTTCTCACACATGACAGTGAGCAAAACAACAAAGTTAAAATCTACTGTCTGGAGCTAAAAAGAAAACTATACAAAAATTGTAAGCACATACACACACACACACATATATGTATATGTATATATATGTATTGTAAGCATGTGCATGTGTGTGTGTGTGTGTGTGTGTGTATGTATATGCTTACAATTTTTGTATAGTTTTCTTTTAGCTCCAGACAGTGGATTTTAACTTTGTTGTTTTGCTTTGTAACTTTGAACAAACTGGCTTAATTCAGTAAGAGTTCTAGTAATGCAAAAATCTTAGTACTGGTTACATAAGTTCCCTTTTGGATTACATATCTGATGTTTCACGGTGTTCTATAAATAAAAGGGGCTTTCCTGTAATGTTTGGGCAATGTCTTCTCCAAATACCTACAAAACTATATATAGGACCTATATATATTCCTAGCTAAAAATAATTAATGTAGGCTACTTATTAGCTTCTGAAAAAGATATTTGGCTCTGAAAAATATGTTTTATAAATTAATAGAACACTTGTTTTGTTCTAAGTAAGGACATCTGGAAAATAAAATAGTAGATAAACAGTTCTACTAGATTACATAACTAACTAGACAGTCATTTCTTATCAGAAAAATAAGACATAGAAAAATAAGACATACTGACCAATTATAGAAACATAGAAAATTAGGGTTGGCAGGGAACTCAGGAGGTCATCTAGTCCAGGCCCCTGCTCAAAGCAGAACCATCCCCAAATAGATCATTTCAGCCAGGACTTTGTCAAGCCAGGCCTTCAAAACCTCCAAGGATAGAGATTCTACCACCTCTCTAGGTAATACTATGGAATAATACAATGGTTGCAGACTCTGGGAAACTTGATCATTACAATGGTAAATACTTTTTTCATGAGTTCATATATTAACTAATACTAATAATGAATAAAGATTTCCATTAAATTATATATTCACTTAATGAGTAAATCTAGGCCAAATGTTCATGAGTCATAGAATATTTAAAAGAGGAATACAGAGGCCAATTCTGCAATTCTTGCAGATGAAAGCCTCCTTCACCAACTGAGGGAAAGACTTCAGTTGACTTCTAAGAACTCTGAATGGGACTGTCATATGCTCAGCATTAACCATGTGAAGTCCCACTGAAGTCTACTGGCCTATGAATATTTGATATAGCACTAAGTACAACCAATATGATAACTGAAAATGCAAGGGTAGTCCTAGGCAAGAACCTTCTTCCTGATCTTCTTTAAAGACAAGAAAGTGTTTTTATGAGGCCTTGTCCTGAACCAGCAGGGGAGCAAAATTATTTGTAAATGGGCACCATTTCTAAAAAGCATAACTTTGTAAATCTCCACTATATCCATCATTCCTAGTGCTTTCAGAGAATTAGTATTATAAGAACCACAACTTCACAATAAGGTTTATTCTGATTTTTAAATATCTGAACATAAAATAAGTGAAACAGAAGTATCTTAATTAATATTCTCCTCTCCTGTCTATTTAGCCCAGGGGTGAGCAAAATGCGGCCCGCGGGTCAGATGTGGCCCGCCAGGCCATTCTATCCAGCCCACGGGGCCCCTAAAAAATTTAGAAAATTAATACTTATCTGCCCCAGGCTGCCTGTCATGTGGCCCTTGATGGTTTGCCAAACTCAGTAAGCAGCCCTCCGCCCAAAATAATTGCCCACCGCTGATTTAGGCAATGGTCAAACTGTAAAAGAACATATTTCCCCAACAGAAATTGCCAGCTACAGAACTTTCTATATATGTTACAGTTACTTCTGGGTACACAACCACAAATACCATGGGAAAGTGGTTTTATTAACAATATACAGTAAGTTCATAGGAAAGCAGGGCAGGAAGAGACTTCACAAGGTCATCTAGTCCAGCCTTCTGCTCAAGGCAGGATGGTCCCTGACTAAACTAAACTAGGCCAAGTGCCTATCCAAGCTGCTCTTGAAAATTTCCATTAGTAAGTTAATTGGTTCCCTTAAGAATATAGTTCATTATAAACAATATTAACAAAGAAAACCTAAAGCTTAATGAATGTTCTTGTTATCTACACCTTGTTTGTTTTGGCAGACAGTGGCAGGTTAATGTTAATTGCTGCCCTAAGGTTAGCCCAGAAGAGTCCATGTTTGTTTTTCTCCTTGGGCCACTCCAAGTACGTTCTCTTGGCCATAAGTGCTTTCAGCTTGTGATACCGGGCAGGAATGATATACTGAGGAATTGGGTCCAGTAAAATGAGGATCAAGCTGTTTGAGCTCTCACTAAACAATTTGTGGTGGGCAAAGTAAAGCTCATAATGGCCCCATTCACTCTGCACAAAATTGGGACTCAGAACAAAGATGGATTTGTAGCTTTTCTCAATGCAGTTAATGATGTTCTCCACAATGCTTTTGCCTGGAATGAAGTTCCTCTCATGCACACACAGCTGTATGGACCCCTCTTCCCTCTCCAGATTTGGTATCAGATCGTTCTTCACCCATAAAGAATCATGTTCACTGTATGAAATGAAAGCATGAAACTGTAAATGGCTTGGTAGTTCATCAATATGACGGTTCCAAACCCATCGCCTTGTTTGTGTCCACTGCCATATCATCTTCAGATACCACGGAGCATCAAAATAGATGCACAGAAAAGACACCAAAGCCACAAGGACCACTGTAATGATTAGAACAGTGACAAGCAAGAGAGCTGTATTGCAAGCTATTTTGGACAAATGGAAATCCTTTAGTTGGGTTCCTTTCCAGCCTTCTGGATATTCACATACATACAACTCCGGAGAGCCCCCCAGCCTTGCAGGGCCTTGTTTTGCAATATTAATAAAGTCTTGTAATTCACAAGAACATTTGAATGGATTTAGTCCTGCTTTTAGCTCTCTGATATTTTGACAGCTTTGGAAGAAATCAGAAGAGGGTGTAAGAATTTGATTCATTTCTATATTCAGGAATTCCAGAGCACTGAAATGCCTGCACCCAGGCAGGTCAGTGAGTCTATTAAAGGCAATATTCAACTCACTCAAAGCTTGCAGCTCAGTAATCTCCTTGGGGATGGTACTGATTTGGTTATTTTGCAGGTCAAGTATCTGGACATGAAGTGGCAAACATTTGAAGACTGCATCTGTCAGTTTGTTTGAAGACAAGTTCAGTTTGACTAGAGTTTCAGTCCAGTTGCATTGCTTCTCATCCTCATTGTAATATAATAAATTCCTACTTATGTCCAAGTGTTTCAGTGATATCATTTTGCTGGTCATTGAGCTCACCTTTGAAAGCTTCTCAAATTTATTTCTTGGTAAGATAAATGTTTCCAAGTGAGTGAGGGTGCTGCAGTTTTTAAATACCTCATCTGTCAAGTCATTGTAGGAAAAATCAAAATACTGAAACAGGCTGGATTCTTCAGGACAAAGCATGTATGGCATATTTGCATCAGATATTGTTAGATTTTCTATGTTCATTTTTGAAAATGCTAGGTACACAATTTCTTGATTAAAATAAAAAAGCTTATTCCGAACATGCTCTAAGGTTACCACTTTTATTAAACTCTCTGAAACAAAATGTTGTTCTTGATATTTTAGTATGGAAGAAATATCAGGTTTGTTCAACCTAATTTCACCCCCAAAGGTCAAATTTTTCACAGTGAAAGACTCTACATGTGAATACCAAACAATCATAAAAATTCGCAAAATAATAGTCCAGGATAAATCAACGTTGTTAAGAATGAGGTTGGATGTTTTGAATTCCTTTTCAAGGGATAAAGGAGGAAATTGAAAGTCTTTATAGCTCAAGTCATATTTAATATTGAAGAATTCTAATTTTTCTGAAGTACTCATTCCATCATACAAAAGAGAAAAATTGAAATCTTTGTTTGTTGGGAAAACAATATGAAGATTCCTTGTGCTTAAGTCTGGCAGACTCCCAGAATCATAGTCAGTAAGGTCTTCTAAGGTTAGAAAGACAGTGTTCAGCTGAAGGTGTGCAATAGCTCTGAAGTCTGACCTGCGTATCATTGTGCCACTCAATCCCAAGTATTTCAGTTGGAACATAATACCCAATTCCTGACAGATGGGCAAGGCATTAAACTTGTTAAAAGAAAGATCCAAATGTCTTAGTTCTTCCATAAATTGACACTTAATAATTGACATATTGTTATGAGATAAATCTAAGTATTGCAAGTCATTATTAAATTTGAAAGCACTAAAATCAAGCTTACTGATTAGATTGTGAGACAGATTTAATACTTGCAGTTCAGGTAGAGGACTGAAATCAGAAATATGAACTGCATAGATATTATTCTGTGATAAATCCAGCACTTTTGTTTGCATTGGTATGCCTTTTGGAACATTAGTCAGAAAACTGCATGAATAGTTTGCAGTAAATTTATTTTCTATAGACAGCTCCACGTTATTCCATAATGTGAACAGAAAGACACAAGTACATTGGGAAACACTTTTGGAGGATCCCATTTGTTCTTCCAGAACGACAGCAGCACTTTGCAAATACTGATAAATGTGGTTCTGATTAATATTTCTCAATGCTGAGTCCAGCCCTATGAAAAGAAAAGGAACTATTAGATCTCCAAATTCTTGGTGAGATGAGGGAAATATGCTAGAGTATATCTCCACCACATTCTTTACATAATATAAGTTGTATCCTGTGCCTTATTTTTCTTTGGGAATATCAAACTCAAGTTACATTTTTCCAGTTACAGCTTTTCTCAGATAAGTGTAAAAGAAATGCAGCAGAAAGGCACTGAATTATTTACAGTTTAGTACTTTTATTTGACTACAGATAGCAACATTTTTATAATGTATGTAGAATCCTTAAAGATACTAGAAAATGTAAACTCAGCAAACTTTAAGATTGAGCAAACAAATAATAGTGAAGCATTACAGTGATGCATTTAGAAGTCAAGGAAAGGTCTCATATAAATAAGAAAGTCTAACTGTAACTAGTCTACAGATGAGCAGTCTCCAGTATGATGTTCTACACCCTCAAGCCCTGCAGGTCTAGAGCTTTTTGCACTCAGGGGTGTATAGGCAGCTGCTTCTCCTGCTTCTAACCCCCTCTCTCAAGATAAATCATTAGTTCCTCCTCATTGACATGCAATTTTCACACACACTCCACAGAACTGGCTGTTTGTGCCACAGGAGCAAGCTACATTAAAGAGATGATGCTGTGGGTTCACTTCCACAATGTGCTAGACACTTGAGGAGGAATTGTGCCTTCTCACAAGTATTGTAACTACTGTGCGTCAAAAAGAATAATTACAGTAGAGCTAAAATGTATTCAGTGAGCATGCACGAAGTAGTGTTTTCCAAAAGGCATGAGGGCGGCACTTCTAATACACAACCCGGGAGCAAAGGCTCCCAGACTTGCTTGTACTTCTCTGCTCTATCTTATAGTGACAGCAAGATGATGAATATTTGAGATCAGGGAATAAAATCATAATAGCAAGGTTCTTTGGCTAAGGAGGTTTATAAGGGAGAGAGATTTTGTGGAGACAAAAACTGGCCCAGTGTAGTAATATGGCCAAACCCTTCAGCTTTATGAATAATCTGGGACAGCATTCGTTTTCCCACACAGCAAAAATGCTGGGGACATAATGATCCTGCATAGCTAGTGCTCAGTGCAACAAACATGTAACTTTAAACATAAAGAACTTGTCAGCTCTTGCAGTAGCTGTAAAAACCCTTGTAGTGTTGCTGCATATGAAAACTGTGAAAGCTTGGACAGTGTATAAGACAATGGCTGGGGCAAAACTGGATTGTGGTAACAAGACTGCCACAAGAATATCAAACTCCACTAATGGCTTGCAACCCATTAGGCATTGAGACAGTTTTATTATATAAAATAATAAAAAGTGATGGTTAAAACTGTCGGCAGAGACCTGACCCATTCATCACATGTGTGTAGCTAAGAAAGCCAGGGAAGGCAAGGAAACTACATATGCATTTCAATTGACCTAACAGCTAAAAAAACCCAAAAGACTCAGTATGCATCCAGGGTGTTATAAATGTCTCAATCAATCAATGTATATCTGGGGTTTGGGAAACAGACCATCACCATACAAGCTAGTGCAAATTTGCCCCATTGATATACAAAGGCCCCATCACCTGTAATTGACCTATAATTGCAGGGACTGCAGAAAAACATAAGTCTTTACACCTAGACAATCCAAGAACAGGAGCCAGGCAATTAACAGTTGTGTTATGATGATGATCAACTTTTTCTTCCTTGTTTGTTTGGACTCTAATTGGCCAACCATCAAGGAAAAATGCTTTGAAGCTATACATATAACCACTATAAGAACTAAGCATATTTGCCAGCAAGGTGTGTGCAGTCCAAGAAGCCATCCTGCCAACAGTCAGCAAGTGAAGGATCCACGCTCTGAGGCTGTACACAACCTGCTTCCCGCCTGGGTTGGGTAAAGACTCTGTGCAACTAAGATAATACTAAGGACTAATCGCTTGTTTTATATTGGGAAAGGTCTTTTTCAGTTATTTAGTTTTGTAGCTTGTTGGAAGCTATTAAAATAAACCTTTCTGCTAGTTATCAACCAAGTGTTGTGTCACTTCTCAGAGCACTAGGTTTAAAAACTGGCTTTCTAAGTGCAACAATGTTATCAGTGCCTTTTAGGCCACCCCTTAAGTGTTATTAGTTTACATAGGTAGGCAAGGTTCTTTGGGTAGATACGATATCTTTTATTAGAGCAATGGAGTACTTGGGAAAATGTTCTTTGCAAGCTTTCAGGCATTTGTTTAAATAAAAATTAAAAATCAACTTTACTGATTTGATGCTATGCTCCTCACCCCTTCACTTCAAAGTCCCCATTTCAGCCCAACCAACCATTTTTTTCCAAAAAGATAAAGCAAAACCCCCTATAAATAATAACTGTGTTTGAATTTAGTGTGCACTATTTATGATTCACTGTGATGCAGCACAATCTGAAACATTCTCTATTGTGTAGCACTGCATTATGCTGGCAGTCATCCCCTGTAGCCCCTCAGCCAAACAAAGAACGGCAACATGAATGGGCAGGAATAACACTTCCAATTCCATTTCATCACAATATTAAAATAGAGTGGGTTGAGAAAAGGGAGTATTCACAAAATATTTGCTAGTTTTTCCTTCTTTTTTGGCTGAAAGTCAACATTCAGATTAAACTTTTCACTGAAATCTAAGTGTTCCCAACCAGATTTTAAAGAATCACTTAAATTTTCTTTAAATTCAAGGAGGAACAGCATAAGCTATGCTGCCCAGTGCATCTTCAAAAATTCCTCTTATCTTCTTCTCCTGCAAACCTTGATCCCTCAGTTTTCATGTGTACGTAATACCATCTTTGGCATCCTCTATGATTCTATGATCCGTAGGATCAATCTACTATGAATGAAATTTACTTCTTGCCTTGCCAGCACAGAACCTATGCAGCACGTAAGTAAGGATTTAAAATTTATCAAGTTTTCAGGTTGGTGAATTTCATCAAAATTACAAATTTCTTTTATAGCAAATAATAATTACTAATAGTAGAAATTCAAATATATTTTATGTGTAGTTATTCAATTCTATTTTATTCATTCTTAGTATTTCTGACAAAAATCCAATTTAATTTAGTTAAAGTACCAATGATAGAGTTCAGTAAAAGGAAACAACTATCTACATGATCATCTTAAAATACATTTATTTATGTAATACTTACATGACCAAATGGCTTATCAGGAAATAAACCTGCTTTTTATGAAGAGCAACACTCAATTAAGATTGCTTAAAATAATTCTGAATCAAGTTCACGGTTGCTTCTGATTTACCAAATGGCTTTCTCATTTATATACACAAAAAACAGGAAGCAATGAAAAATCTGAAAATGAAAGATACAAAATCTCGTTCAGGGATCAGTGCTCCTGAGCTGCTTCATGTACTGTGTGATAGATAATAATATGAAAGCGACTTTATATTAATATGAAAGAAGACCTGCCTCTTTATTTACAGTGGTTCTGCAATTCTAGGTAGCAATATGCACACAAGGCACATCTACAAGACACATTTCCTGCAGAGCTGCCTCATTAGCTCTGCCATAAGTCTCAACATCTACACAGGCTATCCTATTAGGCCACAGAAACGAATTAACTAGGCCATAGGTTAGTACTTGTAAATACAAGTACTATCCTTCATTGGCATTCTTTAATGTCCAGCAACACACACGTAGATGCTGACAGGGCTGACTGGGGCATGAAGGTTTTTCAGTGCAGGGGCAGCCTGCTGGCTAGCCCTGCACTGTAGCACGTTCATACCCCATCCAGCCCCTATGCAGCATGTTGAGCTCGGTTAGAGCAGCCCCAGGCTGGCAGGCTGACCCTCCAGGCCTCCCTGCCACCTGGGGCTGCTCTGACCCAGCTCTATGTGCTGCAGTCCCAGGTGCACATGAAGACACAGTGCCCGGTGATCATGGGCAACTGGTGCCTCCCGAGTCTGTGGGGGGGCACCAGATCACTGATGGGGAGGGGGTCCCCCAGCCACTGATCACCGACCAGGGGGTGGGAGGGGTCTCCCCGCAGCTGATCACTGAGAAAGCAGCGAAACCAGAAGTACACTTCCGCTGGCACTTTTAGTTTTGACACTGGCGCTTTCAGGGGGTGCACAGCCGATCTCAGGGGGTGTATGTGCACCTGCATGCACCCCCTAGGCATCGTCAATGCCCAGAATCAATAAATTCTAGTACTTTACATTCATTTCACATGTAGATGCACCCAAAGACTGACTTTCTGGTACATTCTTCCATCCCTTCCCCGTGTTAAGTTCCTCCACATTATATGCATGATTCTACAAACACCTGCAACTCCCTTTGAAGCAGATTATGACTGAGACACAATTTAGAGAAACTGTATAGACTTCAGTGAGAATTGAGAGTGTTTTTAACCTAAAATATTGGGCTCGGAGGCTAAGGTTAGCTGTGCTGTGAGAATAAGGAAAAAGAGGTGTAATTCTTCTGAACATTTCCCTGGAGTAGCTTCACTAAGAACAGGATAACATTTGCACTTAGCCAAACAACACAATACAGTGCTACAGAATTTGAACCATAGCTAGGGTTACCATATTTCCAGTTTCCAAAAAAGGAGGACACCTGTGGGGGGGGATGTAGACCCCAGATGCTGGCCTGTGGAAATAATCTCCATCATAACAGCTAATACACATGCGGGCATGACTAGAGGGCCTGAAGATTCCATAAAACCTGAACTTCTACCCTCCGTAATCTCATGACCCAGATACATGCGTTAAGATGCTTGAAGAATGCTCAGTTTACCACAATGATATAATCCCAGTAATTATGAATGTGGTGAGATCAGTTATGAGTTGTCCAGATATGATGGACAAGTGAATAATAGAGCAATTTGAGTGACAATTGGTTGAGAGATATGATTGACAGGTGGTGTGACATAGTCAGCATAAAACCTGTGAGAGCCACCAC